TGTCGATAGCAACAGTTCCCTCTTTCTTCAAGAAGTCAAAGAAGCAAATGATCGCGTTGCACGTTGATTCAAAGACGCATCGAGCAGCAAGTAGAGGTTAAAATACCTGAAAAGTGACATTTGCTTAATATGCGACTTTGTACAACCAATTCTGTTCCAGAGGGAAGAAGAGGAAGTGCAGAACATTCTCCGCAGAATCCGAGCACATGAAGAGATTTCGGTGGTCCCTCCCTCCCCTCCTGAAGCACCAATAGAAAGCCTGCTTACACGCCAGAGGTATGACGCCTGCAGAAGGGCGCAGACAGACATGCAAATGATTGCACGCGAAGGCATTGTGGGATCAAAAACAGGGTGCAAATCGGAGCTCGCAAAGCACCCCAAGACTCTGTGCAAGCAGACTGGGGAGAGGCAGGATCCTGGCTGAGCCTTCCCGAGATAGCTGGAAGTCTCTGGGCAAAGTCACCATGGGGTTGGGGGCAGAGGCGAGGAGGGGCAGGGAGGCAGCCTTGCAACCCCAACTCATACTTACCTGGCAGGGGAGACACCATGATCATGAAGGTGGTTTTCCCAGGGTGAGGCTCATCCATTGCACTCCGGGTGTGCTGACCCCTGCGATTTCCCCAAATGCGGGAAACTCGACTGCATAATTTGTGGTAGTGGGGGACTGCGTTCGCGCTTTCCCCTGATCTGGCTGGTTCAAAGACAGAAAAGTGAACTTTTTGTTTGTTTGTTATTCCAGTACAGAAAAATCTTTTACCTGTATTGGTTTACTGATTTTATCAGCTATTGTTTCCAAGTAGGATTCCCACTGTGAGTTTACAGTAGCAGATTTAAATTTATGCTCAGTTGGGAAGTGAAAGGATAATGGAGGAAGAAGTTTGCCGTCTGATGGGAAGAAGTGTGTCTTGATTGGATTATCTGCTGTTCTTTTTCAGTTCTTTGCTCTTTAGTCCATTCTGACACTTTATTCCTTCCTTGCAGGGCTGTATGAGAATTCTAGAGGAGAGGTGGCATAAATATTACCGTATTTCCCCATGTATAAGCCACCCCTTTTTTCCAAAATTTTCAAGCCCAAAAAGTAGGGGGGTGGCATATACAAAGCAGGTACACTTTTTATACGTGAAAAATGCATAAAATAATAAAGTAGGAATAAACTTGTTTTCCAGCAGTATGCTATACTTTTTTGTAAAAATTGTACGTGATGATACGAGTGCGAGTACGCGATAGAAATGCATACGCTAGGCATCGGCCTGAATGCTTCGTTCCTACTCTCGTTCCGATGCGTAGATTGCTAGCGTCGCCCGCACCGCTTTCGGCGTCATGACCGAAGTTGTAGATCTAGACGTCGAATTTTGTTTCTTTGTAAATTTTCTTTCTTCATAACTTGTTTCTCTAATAAAATATTTTTTTCAAAACTTCACAGTCCAAAAATTGGGGGGGTGGCTTATACAAAGGGGGTGCTTATACATGGGGAAATACGGTAAATGATAAATTGCACTGGACCTCTTCATATTTTTAGCTAAAGAAATCCAAAAGTGGCTGAAAAGGGAGGGCAGACGTTTGTGTGTGTGTGTGTTCTGTTTCTGAACATTTTGGACACGGAAATTCTACTCGCCTGATCAATGGAGCCGCATCTTTTTGGAGGACCTCCTGGGGTTCTGTTGGATTCTCTGAAAAACAGCTTAGATTGATAACAGTGAAGGTTGAGTCTCTGAAGTGAGAGTTCTTTGAAGATCAAAGACAAATGCTAGTTTGTTTCCTCCTTTAGTAAGCAACCCTGTGCTGAAGTCTATGGGTTAGAAGTGCCTCTGTGAGAAAGCGTAATAACCCAGGGCTCTGAATTGTTTAAGAGCGATCGGGTTAGCTTTTAATGTGATCAAAAAGTAGAATGTGCCCAGTCGCTGAGGTTGATGCTGCCAGTCAGAATGTGACCAGATTCCCTGCAGGCTACAAAGGGAAAGAATCCTAGTGAACCCCCCGCCCCCTTTCTTTACTGTGGCTCAGCTGATGCAGTCTGCTGCGTGACTGATGAAAGCACGCATGCAAATGCGTATTGCAAGGCATTGTGGGATCAAAAGCAGCATGCAAATCAGAGCTCGCAAATACCCCAAGACTCTGTGCAAGCAGACTGGGGAGAGGCAGGATCTCGGCTGAGCCTTCCCGAGATAGCTGGAAATCTCCGGGCAAAGTCACCATGGCGCTGGGGGCAGAGGCGAGGAGGGGCAGGGAGGCAGCCGTGCACCCCCAATTCATACTTACTTGCAGGGGAGACGCCATGATCACGAAGGTGGTTCTCCCAGGGGTCGGCTCATCCATTGCACACCGGCTGTGCTCACCCCTGCAGTTTCCTTAAAAAAAATTAATTGTCTTTGGTGCAAATGCTCTCAGTGGGAAACTGACTGTATAATTTGTGGTAGTGGGGGATTGTGTTTTGCACTTTCCCCTGATCTGGCTGGCTCAAAGACAGAAAAGTTGTATTTGCAATTTATTTTTTTTGTTGGGTCTTTTGCGATAGCGATCTCTTTCTATGACATTGAATCGCATGGGAAAGTGATGCAGAATTTAAGATGGGGATAGTGCTTCTTCATTCCTTATCAGCAATAATATATCCGCCTGGTTTTCAATTGATGTGTTTTTCCTTAAAGATTTCCTTTAATTTCATGCCTCAAGAATCTTTGGGTTGCATAAATGGTCAGCAGATAGGAGAAAATAAATGGAATAAAAGGGTGTGGATAGATTTTCATCAAATACTTTTTGTGACATTCAGTTTGAACTTTAAAAAAAAGAATAGAAAATCAAACGAAGAGAGAAATCCAACAATGGAAAACACCAATAAGAGCAGTTTCTTCTTAAGGAAGATGGCAAAAATTATTGGGCGTAATATTGTGTTGATGCAAAGATTAGTAATAAAACACACAAAAAGTGACATTTGTTGCAATAAACGCTTCTTCATTCAATAATACAGAAGGGAGAGAGCGCTAAGCTCAATCTTCTCAGAATCCGAGCACACGAAGCACCAATAGAAAGCCTGCTTACTCCCCTCCTGAAGCACCAATAGAAAGCCTGCTTACACGCCAGAGGTGTGACGCCTGCAGAAGGGCGCAGACAGACATGCAAATGATTGCACGCGAAGGCATTGTGGGATCAAAAACAGGGTGCAAATCGGAGCTCGCAAAGCACCCCAAGACTCTGTGCAAGCAGACTGGGGAGAGGCAGGATCCTGGCTGAGCCTTCCCGAGATAGCTGGAAGTCTCTGGGCAAAGTCACCATGGGGTTGGGGGCAGAGGCGAGGAGGGGCAGGGAGGCAGCCGTGCAACCCCAACTCATACTTACCTGGCAGGGGAGACACCATGATCACGAAGGTGGTTTTCCCAGGGTGAGGCTCATCCATTGCACTCCGGGTGTGCTGACCCCTGCGATTTCCCCAAATGCGGGAAACTCGACTGCATAATTTGTGGTAGTGGGGGACTGCGTTCGCGCTTTCCCCTGATCTGGCTGGTTCAAAGACAGAATAAGCTCTCTGCTTGTTTTCATCCAGGATCGTTAGCTAATTGATCCTCGTTTGGAATAGTTGCATCTCCGCTTTGTGCAGTCTCCTATGTCTTCATCCCCCTGGAGGGAATGTAGCTTCACTCCCTGCTGTGTCGTCCTGCCTGTCACGGAGATGGCTGAAGAGTCAGAGCTGCTCCCTGTTGATGTCAGAAGACGAATTCTTCATGTTTATATATAGTCTTAGAGATAGGGATTATTTTGGGCACCTACTCAGAACCTCCGTGATTCAAAGCATGAACGAGGCTTATTTCCAGCCCATGAGCTGTGGGGGCCTTTTGCTTGCTTTGCTGCCCTGAAAGGGCAGGATGGAGCATGGGGCGGGAAGAGGAGGGCAGCCTTCGCCATCCCTGCGCTTAGCCACGGGCAACAGCACTCGCTAGCAAGGGCAGCCCGGTCAGGCGGCCAGAATGGCACCCGTAGCCCAGTTTTAACCCGGGTCTGGAAGTGGTGATGTCGAACCAGGAGGCCGTTATTTATAAAGCCTGTGGCTGCCCATCTAGGAAGTGAGGACTGACTCCATTTTCCTCTGCTTACACATTCTTGCCCTTTGCATCCCCTCGCTTGCCCCGAAAGGGAATGGTGCGAGCGATGCGTACCTGTCGACACATGTCACCCATTCATGAATCAGTCTTGACTCAGGATTTCGGTTGTGTCATCCGCTGGGCATTTTCTTCCCTTCGGCTTGAGTGACGGAAGTGTGTTCCCTCGTGCTTGAAAGCAGCCGCTGTTGCCCCAGCCCCGAAGGAGACAGCAGCTAACTGCCCAAACGACGACACGAGGGGAGGCTCAGCCAACCTCATGACACTCCTCGGACGAGAAAGGCCGATTTGATCTGGTTTGAGGTCCTCCTTCCCTGGGCGGGCGATTTGGGGCCGCCCGTTGACTGGAACCTCCGCAGCCTGTTTGCAGGGGGGGGCAGAGGAGGGGCTGGGGAAAGGCAGAGAAGGGGGGCTGTGGGGGGCCGTGGGTCAGGCCGGAAGGGACCCCAAGGCCTCCGAGCTATTGAAAAGCGGGGAAAGGCAGGGGATGATGGGAGCTGCACCTGACCAGGGCAGGGGGTGGCTGACAGGGGATCCAGCCCTCTTTACAGGCCAGCATGGATGGCATCCCCCCCCCCAGTTACGGCCACTCGAGCCCCGCCCTTCTGCTGTTCAGCGAGACCTAGGGGAAGGGACTCCTCCCCCCCCCACCCGGTTTACGACGGCTCTTAAATGAATCCCTGCAGCTGAGGAGTTAGGAACCCGGTTGCTGGGGTTCCGGGCTGAGCCGCTCCAGGGGGGGGCGATGGGGCGGGGGGCGTGGCCTGCCCGCGTGACGTCGGTGCACCGGGAGATGGGCGGGGAAGGAGGCGGGCGCTTTGGGGCCCGAGGCGGGCAGGCAGCCAACCCGGCCAGTCGGCGCTCGCGGCCTCAACGGCGGCCAATCGCGAGGCGGAGGGCGGGGCTCGAGTCGCGGCTGGCAGAGGAGAAGAGAGAGAGAGAGAGAGAGAGACGAGGCCGGCGGGTGAGCGGCGGGCACTGGGGGAGGGGAGGGGAGGGGGGGGCCTTCGGGACCGATGGGGGGGGGGCTTCGAAGGGCTCCCCTCTTCACAACAGCCCTGCGGGGCAGGCCAGGTGGGGCAGCCCTGCCTTGGCTACCCTCCAGCCCCCCCGCCCCCCCTCCCCCCCCCGCGGAAATGGCCCCGACGGTTTTTCAGGGGATCGGAAGCTGCGGTGGGGGGGGGCGGGGGGAGAAGGGGGGCCGCCGAGGCCGTCTTCCCAATGACTGGCAGGTTGTTAGAAAAGGGGGGCAGACAGGCAACCCTCAAAGCCTCGCCTTCGCCCCCCAGCCCCGCTGAGCGGAGACTGAAGCCAGCAGCAGCCTTTGGGAAGAGACCCCCGGAGAGAGGCGGCTTGTCTTCCCCGCTCCAGCCCTTCTGGGGCAGCGGGGCGTTGGTCTTGGGCCCCTCCTGAGGACCTAGCGGAGAAGGATCTACAGCCCCCCCCTCATTCCTGGGCAGGTGGGTGGGTGGGTGTAAGGACGACCCTCGTCCAGGGCCAGAAGCCCCGGCTGGATTCCAGGTCCTGCCACAGTGGGCAGCGGCAGCACAGAAGGGGCAGGAAAGAGGGGCGGCTCAGTGTGGACCGTTGACTTCTGGCCCGTGTGGGAGCAGAGGTTGGCAGGCAGCACTGAGGCCTGCCGTGGCCACCAGGCCTGTGCACCGCCCTCCGGTTCAACGGGTTTCCGTGCTGTCCGAAGAGCCCTGGAGGTAATGCCAGGCTCTCGGAGCCAGGAAGGAGGCGGGGAAGGAAGTTGCTGGTGAAGGAGAGAATCTCTTGAGTAGGATCAGAATGAGTAAGCCTGCTAGCGAAACATTCAGAGAGAAAAAGTCTTTTTTTTTTTTTAACAGGTTCCTGGAACAGCAGTGGAGATGGCTGCAGTGGCAGAACAGGAAAGTGAAACTCAATTGTGCAACAATTGGTAAGGGCTAGCAATATGAGTGGTTTTTTCCTCTGCTAGTCTGTGTGTGTGTGTGTGTGTGTGTGTGTGTGTGTGTGTGTGTGTGTGTGTGCCCAGCCACTCAAACCGGTGCTTTTTCAGATAGCAGAAGGGAGTTGGGTTTAAGAAAAAGGTGACTAGAGTTTCTGTTTGTCCCAATACCCTTAAAAAGAGAAAGAGAGAGAGAGAGAGAGAGAAAGAGAGAGAGAGAGAGGAGTTTGGCCTAGCAACGTGCCCTGTGCCTCTTGCAGTCAAAAAGAGATTCCTCTGGCAAACTTTACCATCCACGAGATTCACTGCAGCCGGAACATCGGGGTCTGTCCCCTCTGCAAGGAGTCCTTCCCCAAGGCAGAAATGAGGACTCACCAGGAACAAGAGCATGCCCAGGTGATCACACCAGGTTGCTTCCCCCTCCTCCACCACGTCCTCGGGTCTCCCCTGGACGAGACAGGCGTCATTCTGCAAGCTTGGCTCTGATCTGCATTTCTTTCCATCCCTAGATTGTCTGTAAGTGCAGCATGAGAATGGACAGAGGACTCTTGCAGGATCATGTAGTGAGTAAGCTAATCATTGCCTGATTTTGTCCACCGAAAGGCTTTGCGGGACAAAAGATTCGCCGTAGGGCGGTGGCGGGATGTTCTCCCGAAACAGGTGCATGAAGGAGCCATTTCTGCCTTCCTCCCACAGGCTTTTGAGTGTCCCCTGCGGCCTGTTGCATGTCAACACTGTGACATTGAGCTGGCCTTCTGCAAGCTCCAGGACCACGAAGATTACTGTGGGGCCCGGACCGAGCGATGCGTCCGATGCAACCGCAACATCATGCTGCGAGAACTGAAAACGCACCCCATCGACTGTGGGGAGAAGGCCGCGGGGGGAGAGCCGGGCGGCCAGGCGAAGCCCCCTTTCCGCCCCGAGGCCCCTTGGCGAAACATTCAGACCATCCGGAACGTCCTGCAGCCGGACTTTGCCGGAGAGTCGCCGCTGAGGGGCAACAGGTTCCTGGAGAGCCAGCTGCACAGTTGGGTCTCGGGTGATCAGCTGCCCAGCAGGGAGCCCAGTTGGAGGAACCGAGGCCCATCCCAGCCAGATCGGAGTCGAGGTAAAGGCCTTGAGGGGAAAGTGCAAAACAGCCCCTCTTGCTCTCCTTTTGGTCCTCCGAGCCCCTCGCCTCAATGGCCTCTTGAACGAAGAGGGTGGGGTGGGAGGCTCTCTTCCCCCCAGAGGCTTTGAAAGCCGCACCTTCTCTGCGTGTGAGTTGCTGCTGCGAGGAGGGAGGGCGGCAGGTTTGCTTCTCACGCTGTGCGGTGTTTGTTCCCTGAAGCCCGTCTGGAAAAGGAGGCCCCGCCGCTGCCCGTGGACGGAGACTCGGACTACAACTTGGATTACCTGCTGGCGCTCAGCTTGCAGCAGGAAAACAGCTTCGGCCAACCCCGTGTGGCCGAGCTCCACAGAGAACTCTGGAAGAACATCTGCGCCCCCCAGGCCGGACCAGCAAAGAACTCCAGGGACCCCTCTCAGGATTTGCTGGTGGCAGCCGACAATCTGAACAGGCCCCAAAGTACGTGGGTGTTCGTGGTTGCTTCTCCAGGGATGGCCGGGGGAGGAAGGGGCAAGCTATGGGGAGAACCCCAAGGACCCTGCCCCCCTCCTCCCGGGGGTTTCTGTTTCTTTTTGACTGAAGAGCAGCCCAAACTGCCCTTGGGTGGCTCACCGGGCTTGGCGGAGGAGTTATCGGTGGTGAGGAGATAGGTGGCGAGGAGATAGGTGGCAGCTGGGTGGTTGTAATCCGGCTTTGAGTCGTGTCTCTCTTACCCTTCAGCGGAGACCCTGCTGCCTTGTGAATTCTGCGAGGAGCTGTTCCCCGAGGGAGACCTGATCCTTCACCAGGTGGGGTGTCCCGTCTTCTGGGGCTGGGAGGGGGGAGCTGACCAAGGAAGAGGGGCTGGGGAAGCATCACCCCCTGCTCAACTCCGCCCTTGCTCGTTGCCCCCTCCATGCGCCCACCACCGCTGGGGCAAGTTGGAAGAGACCGTTTCCCTCCTTTCCCTGCCCTACTCGTGACAGACGGGCTGCAGCCCCGCCAGCGCCTTGGCCTCCTTCAGCAAGAGGAGCAACCTGCCCCCGCCGACCGAATGCCTGAGCGGCCTGTGGGGAGAGCTGCCTGGCAGGCGTTCTGTGGGCAGCGGAGAGACGTTTCCTCCCCAGCCCGGCATCCAGGACAGCCTCTTGCTCCCGTGCGAGTTCTGCGGGGTCCAGCTAGAGGAGGAGATCCTGTTCCACCACCAGGTATGCAGGCAGCAGCCCCGAAGCCCCCGTTGGGCGCTGGGGTGGGGTGGGGGGCCGTGACTGGCAGCCCTTTTTCTCCACCCAGTACCAGTGTGATTTGCGCCCACCAACCGCCCCCTCGAGCGGGAGGATGCCTGTACAGTCGGGGTCTCCAGTGGCGGAAAGCTCTGCGGGAACCGAGTCTCCAGAGCTCGTCAGAAGACGCATCCGGCACCAAGGTAGGCCAGCCCATTCTTGGTGCAGGCCCTGCCGAGCACTCCTCTGGGCATCCCCCAAGGAGGATGGTCGGTCCTGGGCTCCCTAACTGGGCTGTGGGGGAGCCGGCAGGGAGGGAGGGAGGGAGGGCGGATCATTGGGGTCCCTCAGCCCTCCTGCCGGAGTTTGGAGCCTGCCTTCGTCTCCCGGGCTCAGGCCCTGCGTCTCCTCTCTGCCTCTTTCCCTGGTGGCCCCTGAGCGGTCTTCCCTCTCTCCCTCCTGCGCCAGGTGAGCTCTCTCCACAGTACCTGGAGCAACTCCAGCAGAGGACGCCTTTCCAGCCTGCTCCAAGGAGCCACTCCCAGGTGGCGGCCAGGCGCTTCCTGCTGGCCGCTCCCAACAACCAACAGAGGGAGGAAGCGGCTGCTCTTTCCAAGGCAAGGAAGCCCAAGAAACTGGGAGACAGCGAAGGAAGGACCCCGGGCCAAAGTCCGAGCGACCCCGTGGCCGCCCCTCTGCCTGCCAGATACCCCCACTCGGACTACGCTCCCAGCACCTACATCCCAAGCTTCCCTGCTACACACCCCACTCGCCCAAGGTAGGGGCTCCAGAGTCGCCACCAGCTTTCCAAGTGTCCGTTTACGGTAGAACCAGAACCTTCTTGATGGGGGTGAAGGCTGCATATCTGGGCTGCTCCTTCTTAAGGGGGGAACCTGCACTTCTTGCCTTCTGGTCCCAACTGGAAGAGGCAGCTGTTTGCAGGCGGGTGGAGGGTGGGGGTTAAAACAACCTTGAAAAGAAGTTTTGTTTTTCCACCATCCCCCTGTTTTTCTCCCCCTCTTTTAGCATCAGACAGGAAGGAGGACAAAGTCCTTCAGCTCCGCCCCATTTCAACAACGCCAAGGTAAGGGCTGCGCTTGGCCGGTGGCCTCTTGGGCAAGGGAGAGAACCTTTAAGAAACCAATCCTGCGACAGGAGCTGAACCCTTCGCAAAGTCTGAGACAGCTTGAATTTCATGGGTTCAGAAAAATCTCTGCTTAGATGGGATGCTGCATGTCTCAACCGCGGCCCCCCTTTGTGCTTGAGCTCAGGATTTCTTGCTCCACCGAGGCCTTGCAGGTGCCTTTCCCAGTCAGCCCCCTTGAGCTCTTCCCCCCTGGATCATGAGGCGGGGAAGAGACCTGGTGTCTTCTGGGGAGGCCTTTCTTGGCCCTCTGAAGGGCCCGAAAGAGCCCCTGTCCGGCTTCTGAGCCCCTCGCCTGGTTCTCTCCAAAGCCTCCGGCCTTTTCTCGCCTCCAGGCAAAACCCTGGCAAGTGAAGTCGGCCAACCCCGACAGAGAATGAGGGGAGAATGTCCAGGGCCGCCCTTTCCTGCCTCCCCTCCGGCACGAGGACCTGGGCTTCATGGCAAGATTTCCGCAGGAGTTCCGGGACCGGCGTTCCACACCTGCCACAGAGGCGGCGGCAGGATCCCGTGATTGCTTTGTCAGTTGTGCCCTGTTTTGTTGCTGTTCAGGTGGGGGTACAGAGGGCCGAGTCGTTCCGGGGGCTCAAAACCTTTTGCTTGAGCAGACGCTTCCTCTTTGCAAGCATAGAGAAACAACTCCCCCCCCCCCCCCCCCCCCTTTTCCAAAGGCCTGAGTAGACGGGCTAGTTAGTAGTTGCCGAGTTCGAACTTTGCTGCTAGGAGTGTCCCTCCCTCCCTCCCTGCCCTGCCCTCGCCCGCCTCTTCCTTTCTCCTCCTTCCCAGCCCAGTTTTTCACTCAATGTGAAAGGAGGGGAATCCCCCCCCATCCCCCCATGACCCTCCTGGGGGCTCCTCCCTGGGGTTCAGTCGCAGGGCCTTAAAAGCCGAAACGGGCGCTCCGAGGAGCCGGAGGGCCGCGCCCTTTTGTGTGTTTTGAGACTTTTCAATTTCTTACAATAAAGTTTGTACCTATTAGCCCATCCTGTCTTTCTCTCGAGGCCCACGCTCATTGAGACCGGGCTCACACGACACTGGGTGCGAGTCCAACCCAAAGCAGAAACTGGTGCTGGGTGTTGGCAGTTGGAGGCTCTTAACCTCCTCCCCTCCCTCCTTGGCCGGTTTCCTCCCCCCCTGTGGCTCAGCCCTGGCTCCCCAAGAACAGAGCGGCCTCGAGGACACTTCCACCAAATGTCAGCATTTATTAAGTACAAGAAAAGCCAAAGAATTCTTAAAAACAAGGGGGGGGGGACCAACCTCGCCGTGTTCTTTCCAAGGCCAGAGGCCTGTGGTGGGCTTGACAGAGACGGGGGGGGGGGGGGGGGTGTTCGTGGCTAAACCATCCGGGGGGAAGGGGTGGGGGGGGGGCGGGGGGGAAAGAGTCGAAAAGCGGAGAATAAATTAACGAAAGAAAGAACGGCCAACGCCTGGTCAGCTGGGCAGCCGGTCTCCCCTAGGCAGAAGGGGAAACGCCGAGTCCTCCTTGCCCGAGAGGGGCGGCCCTTGGCTCACTTTTTTCTCTTTTTATACAAAATATTTACACGTTTGCTTAAGTAAATATAAATTAAAAAAAACCAAAAGAAAAAAAAATACAGTGCAGTAAACCCACCCCAGAGTGAGCTGGAGCAGGGCAGCTCAGGGCGCCTTCCCCCCAAAGGAGAGCTCGTCCGGGGGGGCTTCCTCCTCCTCCTCCTCCTCCCAGCCGAACCCTCCGGAGCAGGATTCCCCTCCGTCCCAGAGGCTGCACGCCTGCCCCCCCCCCCCGCCAAGCCCTTCCACGGATGGACGGGGGGGTGGGGGAGTGGTGGAAGCAAACCCCTAGGGAGACGGATCCTGAAGGGGGGGGGGCTTCGGCTGAGACGCCCCCAGGTTCTCCGCTGCCTCCGGGAGCAGCTTTTTACATTCAGGACAGCCGTTCAAGTCAAGAGGAAGGAACGTCTCCCGGTCAGCCCGGGTTCCAGAGCAAAGGGGCGGGTTCTTCTACTTCGGACCGTTGGAGCAGCGAGCCCGGCCGACTCCAGAAGCCCCCAGACCCACTTTCCTCATTCACAGTTGGCCCCCTCTCGCTGGGCAGCTTCCTTCCACTTGCCCCGATCTGCTCTTGCCAAGGAAGCCCCCATGCAGAGGAAAGGTGGGGGGTAGACCTGGAGTGGCCAGTCGTCCTCCCCCCCCCCAAAAGCTCAATTTACAGTAAGGGGGGTGTAAACACCATAGAAGACCGTTGGTTGGTTTTTGCTTTTTCCTTAAATGCAACCATAAATAATTGGAATAAATATACGTCAAGTCACTTTACAGCACACACACTTTGGAGGCAGGCCGCTCTGGACACGCTGCGGGTCTCGGGGGGGGGGGGGGGGCCCCCCCCGGGGGCAACTGAAAAGGGAGCTCTGGGGTATTTGAACAAGAGGAGAAGGGGGGGGTCGGATCCATAAGCCCCCCACCCCACCCCCCTGAATCTCTGGAAAACATCTTTTGTGGATGGAACTGTGTTCAAGTCCCTGCGTTCTAACTGGGTTTCTCCGGATGCACCCACCCCGGAGGGGCCCAAGACGGGCCGGGCTCAAAGGGGCGACTACGCAAGGGTGACGCTGGGGCCCTCCCACCTCAACTCCTCGCCCGGCGCCTTCCCACTCGCCCCCAACCTCCATCCGCGCATCACTCGGGCCAAAGGATGAACAGTATTCACAGGAATATACAATAGGTACAGCTCCTCCGCGCCAAGGACCAGCACAGGGAGGGAGCATCTCCTTCCCCGGCGGCCTTTAAGGGAGGAGCTTGCAGCCTCCTGCTGCTGGCGCTTTCCCCCGATAGCACCGGGGCCTTTGGAGTCTTGAGTTCGAAAGCGACCCCGAAACGGCTCCATCCGAGGCAGGCTTGGCAGGGGTGCTTGGCGCGTCCTCCGAAACTAAGGCGCCTCTGGCGAGGAGAGCCTCCGTGGCGTCCGCCTGGGGAGTTCCCTTGGAAACCCTCGGTGGGAACGAGAGCCCGAAAGCCGGGTGGATCCTCTCCATCTTTTGCTAAGGAAGAGCCCGGGATCCTCCCACATGCCGAAGGGAATCTCGGGAGGACCATTTCTGAGCGCAAGGTGGAACCTTCGGGGCGAACTGGACCGGAGCCCATCAAGTGGGCGGTCACTCTAGCCATAAGACCAACACCCCTCCCCCCCCTTTCTTTCGACCATGGCAATTGGCTGCTTGTCACCCCACCATGGAATGTGTGAAGTGGCCCCAAACAAGTTCCGACCCACCCTGGCAAAAAGTGAGGAAACGCTGCTGCTTGTCTGGTTGGGTTACATTATGACTCCATCCCTCAAAACAAGTTGTGGTTGCTTCACCGACGCACTCAGAAATGGTGATGGAAGATCTTCCCCTGGCACGGTCGATCCCCGAATCTCCCTTTGGCCACGAGCTCCTTTCCGATGAGGACGAAATGGGGGGGGGGGATCCCCCGGGATTGCTAAACCTCGGTCCCCGGACTAAGTTTTCCATAAGGCAGCAGCAGCAGCAGCGGCAGCCGCCACCGAGTCCCACCACCCGAGAAGTCTACGGAGAGGAAGCGGAAGTCTTCCACGAAGGCCATCGCAAGAAGGAAGGCAAGGAGCAAGGTCACCTTCCGCTCTCGCCTGGTCGTGGCTCGGCTTCTCCGGTGCGTCCTCTGAAGGGCCCTCCCTCGGAGGGGAGCAGGTCAGCCGCTGAGAGGGTCCTCGCGATAGTGGATGGCGTACCGGAGCTTCTCCAGCATGATCTCCAACGAGGAATACTGAGGGAGTTTGATCATGAACATGCAGGTCTCCACGCGGATGTACCGGGAATCCGGGGAGCCTGTCGGGGGTCACAGGAAGGGGGGAGACTCAGCGCCTGTTGGAAGGGGGCTTTAGGCGCAGCTCTAGTGCCTTGTATCTCTCTCCCTCTCCTCCCTCTCTCTTCCTCTCCCTCCCTCCCTCCACCTCCCTCTCTCTCCTGCCTTCCCCCTCTCTCCCTCTCCCTTTCTCCCTCTTCCTCTCTTCCTCTCCCTCCACCGCCCTCCCTCTCTCTCCCTCCCTCCTCCCTCCTCTCATCAAGGATGAAGCAGCTGGCCAAGTTGTGCTTCCAATGATAATTGCCTTCTACACCAAGCAGGCATCAACACACACATACACCCCTTGCTTAACTCTTACAAGGGCCGAACCAACCTTGGGCCCCCCAATTCCCTTGAACCCCCCCCCCGTGGTTTGGCTCAGCCAACACCTCCCCCCTTTTTTTCGTTCTTTCTGCTGAATGACTCCCTCCCGTCCATCTCTGCACCAGGAAACACGGGTACCTGCAGTGCCATCCGGGGGCGCAATTTTCATGGGGTAGGGCGGCACGTGGGCCGTGTCTGGGCCCCCATCCTTGCAGGGACAGGTGAAGGGGATGCGCTCCTGGTTGCAGGCGAACTTGATGAATTTGCACAGCTCCTCCTGGGTGAACATCTCCAGGGCCCCCCAGAAGAACTCAATGTGCTGGTCGGTCTCCATCAGCCCCACCTGGTACATTGTGTGAGCCTGTGGGTGGCCAAGCGGGGAGAGGCGGAAGGAGGGAAGCCAGTTAATCGATGGAGAGACCCCCCTCAGCCCCCTGGGGCTCCTCACTTTGCGGTTTCTAGTCAGCTGGGGTGGATTGGAGTTTTCTCTGCGGTGGTCTAGCAGGACTAAGCCGGTTCTTGTTTTGGTCTCGACTCTCCTGCACGTAACTTGCAGGGGTGAAAGATGAGTGGGAGGGAAGGAGGACGAGCAGCTGCCCTCTTCTCGGGAGCCCAAACCAGGCGTCTCCAACCTTGGCCACTTTAAGACTTGTGGACTTCAACTCCCAGAGTTCCTCAGCCAGGGTCTTAAAATAGCCAAGGCGGGAGACCCCTGGCCTAAAAGGTCTCCTTGAACCCTGCCCCCAGGGGGTCCTGCAGGCTCTTCCTGCTTCCCGTCGGACCATAAAGGCCTCAAATTACCTTGAGGAACTCCAGGTTGATGTAGGGGAGCCCACAAGTCCTCAGTTCCATCTCCAAGGGGGTCAGCAAGGTAAGAATCTGCAGCGGGATGATGGAGGCCAGGCCGGCTCTCACGGCCATCACACACTCAGCGGTCTGCAGCTCGTGCAACCTCAGGTTGCGAATGGCCGCCGCGTAGACGTCCTTGTTCTCCCACCTGGAAGGAACGATGCGTTCAGGGCTCCACGGAGAGGCTCTTTCCTCAGGGCAGGAAGCCCCGTGTGGCTCGTACTCCTGCGTAACGCTCCGGCTTCTCCCTTCCCCTGGGGCCCCTTCCTGCTCGCCCTGAGCCTTGCAAGCCCCAGCCATACATAAGGGAGAGGCGAAGGGAGCCCAGACCCGCGTGGGGCCTCGGATGCCTTCAGGGGCGATTCGAGGGCCCTCGGCTCACAGGGGAGGCCTCCTGCTACTCACACGACGGGGATGTGCCTGCCTCGGGCGCAGAGCTCCACCTCTTCGCCGGTCATGGTCACGTAGGTGAACTTGCAGCTGGGCTTGTTGGGGCTGTCGGGGCTCTCCATGGCCAGGTGCTGGGAGGCGATCTCCGCACACAGGGCCTCCAGCTCGGTTTCGTCGTTCAGCTAAGATAGTGGAGACAAGAGGTCACTTCGCTAGGACGGAGAGGTCTGAATGCAGCATATCTGAAACCCCGTCCGTTAATTTGGACAAAGCGCGCTAGGACGAAGCCAAAATGAAATGAAACAGGCCTTTTAAATGTATTTCTCTGCTTTGCTCCTGAAGAGGGACAGGCCTTGCGATTTATGACGAAGCTCGTGAAGTGGCTAAATGGGCCATTATCCCAAGAGCCATCATGCGTGAATTTAAATTTTATTCACAACACCCCATCAAGGCTGGGGAAGAGGATACAGCACCACGAGGGACGTACGTTTTCAAACTTTTTGACGTAATTGTAGGTCAGCACGTCAGCCTCCTGGAGGTCCACGTCTGGCTCCAGTGGTTCTCCTACCAAGATCTTCCAGAAGGAGGGCAGGAGATCCAAAGGCAGAGGGACGTCAGCCCGGATGGCGATGCCCAGGAGTTGCCCAAAGAAGTGCAGCAGCTGTTCCTCCCCATAGCTGATGGGGCTGGGGGTCAAGATGTATTTGCCCTGTGGGGGGGGGGGGGGGAGAAAAAGTGGCCTCGGTTTGGAAGCCCAGATCTTCTGAGGAATTACAGTTTGCTTGGTTAGTTGGCCAGACCATCTTAGCCTGGGATGCTGCGGAAAACCTTTCAAGGCTCCTCTGCTAGGAGGCGGCTAGCGGGTGAAGAGTCCCCACTGATGCCGGTTGGCTGCGGCCTCACAACCAACCACGGGGCTCTGTGGGCCTTGGGCAGCTGTTGGCCTACCTTGTTCTTGTTGACCGACGAGCTTGGACACAGCAAAAGGAGGGACAGCAACGTGCTCTGGAGCTCCTTACAAACCTGCCAAAGAAAGTGACGGAAAGATCCACCTGGAAGACACACGGAGGACACTGGTCACAAAGTGATTTTTTTTAATCCAATGGTCAAGAAGATCAGTCTAGAAGCAAGGTGTGGGTACAACAATACCTTCCTTGTCAGATTCCCCAATGATCAACGGGAAATGAATTTCATTGATCAACCATCCATCCATCCATCCAATCAATCAATATCAATTAATCATCCATCCATCCAACCAACCAACCAACCAACCAACTAACCAACCAACCAACCAACCAACCAGCCAACCAGCCAACCAACCAACCAACCAACCAACCAACCAACCAACCAACCATCCAACTAACCAACCAACCAACCAACCAACCAACCAACCAGCCAACCAGAGCCTAAGCCTTCTGAACAACTCACTTAAATTATCCACCAGCCATTTTTTACATTATTTTGAGCCCACCATATTTCACAGGGATGTTCAGATTAACTGGGGAATACAATGGGACGCTTTATACATTAAAAAGGAGAAAAAAAACACTTATTTTGAGAGAACAAGTGGGGGCCACTCCCCAGCTGCAACCTTCAGACAGTTACTCCCAAGCAGCCAGCCACCTCCCAGCCGACGGCTTACTTGTGCCGTGAACCTCCTCGCCAGTGAAGCGGATGTTAAAGGCGTAAGTGGGGTCTCCTCCACTGGCCAACTTGACACAGAGCTGCGATGACGGGACACAAGCCAGTTGCCGGGCAGCCTGGCAGAAATAGGAATTTTCTGACGAACGAATCTCTCCTGTTGGCGAGGAGCAGAAAGAGAAGGCAGGTTGAAAACGGCCGTCGGCAGTTGTGAAGTTCCGACTCTCCCACCCAGCTCCGGAGGAGCAGAGAAGAAGGGGGGGCTTCCCCCGAAGTGCCTACCTCCCACTATTTCGAGGGGGTCCAAGGTGATCTCGGGGGCTGCGTGATCAGCTGTTCTCTGCACTGTGGCATTGAGCACGCGGTTCAAGACCGTCACTTTCGTGTCGTAAAAAATCAGTCCTGAAGGAACAGACCAAGCACCGCAGTCCTTCCTTGAGAGACAACCTCCCAACCTGGAATACTTGAGCCATTGCCCCCCTCCCAGGTGATCTGTTCCCTTTGCACGGTTGACGCTGTTTCTACTCATCGAAATTAAACTAATCCAATCTTTCTCCTGTCAAGTATTACAAAGTTGGCCTTGGGAGCCAGCCTGATGAGAAAGCCATCAAGAGTGGTCGCATGGTCTCCACCGGCTTTAGGGACCTGCCCCCGCCTCCTCATCCGCCCAAGCCCTGACCTTTGGCCTCTTGCAGAAGGGCGGCGATGCTGTTGGGGTACACCCTGGTCTGCCGGAGCTCCACCAGCGGAAGGAAGAAGGTCTCCAGGGTGGTGTTGAGGGACTGCAGCAAGGCGAACCGCAGGCGGAGGCTTTCGATGGGGACGCCTGTGACAGAGCACAGCGGTCAGGAGTTACTGGAAAACGGGGGGCGGGGGGCGGGATACAGGTACTGATCCCCCCCGAGGAGGAAGAGGGAGGGAGGGAGAGTCCTGCACGTACTCAAGAGGCAGGAGACCTGGGGGTCAGCTGCATCGGCAGAGTCCAGGTACACTTCGTGGGGGTGCAGCCGTGCAGGGGTGATGGCCAGGTGGCGGCAGAGCCGGTTGATGTACCGGACAAGGGCCACGTCCATCTCCAAGGACCACTTGCGGCAGGCTTTCTGGGCGTGCCTGGCGTCGAGGCAGGCGCACCTGGGGGAACGAGGAGGAGGGGGGCTCAGAGGAAGACCAACAGCCCCTACGCGGCTGCAAGCGTCTCCGACAGGTGCGCGCTCCCCTACCTTTCAAAATGGAGGTCGTAACCGCAGGACAGGATGGCTCGCCAGACGCTACGGATGTCCTGCTTTGCTCGGTCAATGACAAACCTGTGAAATCCCTCCAGGGTCAAATACTTCTCTTCGGGAGCTAAAATCGTTCGCCAAGGGAAATAAAGACGCAAACGTCAGCATGGAGACACCCAGGGGGTGGTATAAACCCCAGCCCCCGTTTGCTTTCTCCGTCCCAGCCGCTTCCTCCAATACCGAAAACACGTAACCCAACGTGGACTTCTATTCACTTTGAAATTAAAGCCCCCCTGGGGCTCTGGGCGGCTTCAGAACAGCCCCCCCCCCACTGGCCAATCCCTGCCAGTTACGGAACAACCCCCACCCCCACCCCAAAGCCCGGCGTTCCCTCCCCAGGCTGAAGAGAGCGGGTTGAGCTACCCTCCTGCTTCTTGGTGGGGGATTTGTCGGGGTCCTTCTCCTCCGGTTTTCCCTTCTCTGGAGACCGGGCCTTCACCGTTGGCTTCTTCTCGCTCAGGGCTGTCCTGCTAAAGGAGGAATGAGCAGCATCTTGGTCGACGGTCCCTCTGTGAGAAACGCAACTCGCACCACAACGTTTTGTCCTTGGGGGCCACAATTCCGGGCAGGTCCCTCCCCTCCCCCAAGGAGACCCACTGGGATAAAAGAGAGGGAGGTCCAGTCTGGGCCGCACCTGCGGGGCCACCCAGAGCAACGTTAGGGAGACGGAAGGGACGTGACCCACCGTGTCCTCCAGACGGACTTCCAGGGTCCTGGGGTCGCCCCGTTCCCCCCTGGGTGGAGGTGGGTGGCGGGTGCCCAGGAAGGCAAAGCTCTCTCACCTGACGCTGTTCAGCACGGCCTTCTCCTTGGCTGGCGGTTTGGTGACTGGCCGCTTGGTGCTCACGACCTTCACGGGGTGCTGTTCCTTGCCCCCCTTGCTGTATTTGCTCTTGTCAAACTTCGGCCTGGCGACCCCGTATTTTCTGAGGATCTTCAAGGGGGAAAGGCAGCATTTTAGGCGGGGGAGTCTGGCCAGACTCTGCCCTCCCACCAAGCAAGGCTGCCTCCCGAGGGCGGGGCGGGGCAGGGCGCCCACCTGGGTCAGCTGATCCTCCAGGGCCTTCTTGGGGGGACGGACGTGGGTGAAGAAGGTGTGCAAGAGGTTGCCGGGCGCCTGGGCGTTGATCTGCTCTTTGCTCAGGTAAATCTCCATCACTTTGGTGGGCTTGGCCGGCAACAGGCTCAGCATTTGCTCGGAATGGAGGCAGCTTTTAAAGATGTCCGTCAGGACTTCGCGGGCACCCGGCACCAGCTTGTCCCCTGTGGCAAAGAACAGCGAAGTCGTCGCAAGAGGCGTTTCCCGCTATCGTGCCTTTGACGCCACTTGACCCTCACGAAAAAGCTGTGCCTTAAATCAAGCGGACTGAGGGGTTTGCTTGCACCAAAGGTCTCCTCTGTGGGACCGCCTGGCCCGGCTCCGATTCGAGGCTGGAGCAGATCCAACTTTGGGGACTGGAGAACTCCAGGATCGCCGCCATTCGTGGATTCTAAGAAACCTTCTTGGTCCTTCTCCCTCCTACATACCAGGTGTGCACAAGGCACCTGTAAATGTGGCACACGCACACCCACCTTTGATGGTTTTGTCACTGAAGTAGTCTTCCAGTGCGGGGCTCCCTTGGGTATCAAACAAGCTCTGATTCACGGTCGAGACGGTCAGAATCTCCTCTGAGGACATCTCCATCAGCTCATCTTCCCCGTCCAGAGCGGACAGGCCAATCAGGTCGCTGCTGTTAAACAAGCTGGCCCGGATCTTCTCGATCTTGGCCCGGGATCTGATCTGCGTTGAAGAAAACCGAGGCGGGAGTGATTTGGAAGCCAGCCTGGGCAAGTCGAGCAGGGAACAATCCCCTCGGGACCCCTCAGAGGGGTCTGAGTTCTTCCCAGCCTGGTTTTCCTCGCAAGGGGCTATTTTTATAAGCAGCAGGGAAGAGCTGGCAAAGGAGGCGTTTCGTTCAGGAAAGGCTTTGTTTCTATAAAATAAGCTTCGTGAATTTAATGTTAATAAGGAATAATGTGATACGAAACAGAATAAGTAAGATGAATAGGTCACTATGGTCATGTTTGTACTGAGATGTGGAACCTGGTGAGAACTTTTATTTAAAAAATAAAAAAATAGGAGAGGAAATTGAACAGTGAAATTACTGGGCATGTCTAAATGATATGGTGACTGGCACAAGGAGAGAGTATTGAAATGTTGAAAAATTAAGCAATGCAGGATTATAATTTAATGCAATTATGGGTATCAAGAGATATGGTTGGTTTTAATTAATTTTGCTTGCATTAAATTGTATGATGTATCGGTGCCGCTCTATTTATGTATTGATGTGTATGTGTAGATTGAAATAAGAAAAACTTGATTATTAAAAAGACTCATTTCTAATGAATTGATCTTCCCAGAGTCACATTCTGCTCTTCTGTCTGAAACGGCTGCCAAGTAATCAGCCCCAGACAAGACCCCCGATCCAAGGCCGTTAGATTTTCCCCTCCCTTCCTTTCCCTCCCCTCCCCTCCCCCCTGCAATGCACAGGCAGGAAACGGCCCCCCGGGAGTCCTTCACACTCCGGGGGGGGGCGGCCTTTGCCTGGAGGCCCCTCACCTCCACCACAGCGAAGCCCTTGATGGGCCTGGACGGGACGGTCTGGCTGCCGAGCGAGGTGACGGTGTAGAGGGAGCCCACGTCAGAGGCTGAGGCCGTCTCCCCGTTGTCCAGCTGCTCCCCGAAGCTGCCCAGGCTGCCCAGGCTGCCGGTGCTGCAGAGCGACAGGTCCAAGCTCTCCTGGCTGGAGACCCCGTGCGGCTCCAGCAGGCTGGGCGGGACGGCCACCTCCAGGCCGGCCTGGAACTGGTCCACGGAAATGTCGCTGACCGTCCGGGAGATGCCCTGCGAGCTGCAGAGCGAGGCCTGGCTGGTCGAGGCGGAAGCGCTGACGCTCATGGCCGGCGTGACGCTGCTGGAGCTGCTGACGTCCAAGCTGTCCACGCTGCTGGACACCACCGGCTTCTCCAGCTCGGTCCGGCACTCCCCGCCCTCCGCTTTGTCCTTGGCCTTCCTGGGCAGCTCCTCCTGCACCGGGATGTAGATCTCATCCCGGAAGACGCCGCCGTGGGCGTTGCAGGCCTTGCGGATGGCGCTACGCACCACCCCATCCTCCAGGTGGGTGGGGATCCCGGAGATCACCAGCAGGCGGCTGTGAGCCGTCGCCCCGACCAGGGCCTGGCAGGCATCCGCCACCGCGTCATTGGTCACCCCCAAGCCCTGGGGGTCCTTCCTGGTGAGGTGCCGGAGGATGATGAGCAGGGTGAGGGCCCGGTGGAACCACAGCATGTCCTCTGGCTTGCTCCCCGCCATGCCCAGCAGGGCCGGGTCCGTGTCGGCTGCGCGGGAGGAGGATCGCTTCCCCGAAGGGGCCGCCTTCTCCCGTTTCATCTTCACTTTCTTCCTCTTGGAGAGGAGGCTGGGGCTCTGGGGGGTCTGCCCGGGGGAGGAGGAGGAGGAGGAGGAGGAATCGCTCAGGTTCGGGCCGCTGGTGGAAGACATGACGTTGGTGGTGATGCCCATGTTGACCGGCAGGGTCACTTCGGCCACCGCCAGGCAGGCCTCCATCAGCGCGTGGAAGTAGGTGGAGAACCTGCCTTGGTCGGCACCCCCCACCCCGGCCCCAGCCCCGGCGTTCCCAGACACCCAGCTCTGGGTCTCCTCGTCGTAGAGCTTGTGCAGCTCCGACTGCAGCGCCATCAGCATGGCCAGGCAGGGGTTGAGCTGCAGGGCGATGGAGGAGGAGAGGCCCGCCGGGCTCTTCCGCTGCTCCAGGCTGTGGACCTTGCGCAGCAGTTCGGCCAGGAGGTGGAACAGCAGCTCCTTCACGCAGGGGGCCATGCTGGTGGTCCACAGGAAGTTCCCTGGAAGCGTGGAAAGGGGACGGGGGACGGGGGGGGTTGCTTAAAGCTCAGCTGGAGGGAGACGCCCCCCAATTCACACACCGGACTTTTCACCCGCATCAGCTCTGAAATGGGCCTCACGATCGACTCAAGGCTGTGAAGCTTCCAGCCGGCTCTTAACTGGAGGCCAACCAAGTTTAGCTCCAGCAACCTGAGGGGGGGGGGGGGGGGGGGGGCGGCGGCGGCCGGGGCCCCCGGGGGGCGCGGGGGGGGGGGGGGGGGGGGGGGGGCGCGGCGGCCGAGCCCTTGAACTTCCCAGGAGCCCAAAGGGGGTTGTGGAAGAGGCTGCGGCCCCCCCGGGGCCTTTCGGGGGCTCTTGTGATCATGCAGATTCCTTGGACAGCAGCGGGTGGATCCCTCGGCCAACAAGGGCCCGGTGGCCGATTCCTTTTCCCCCAGGGTCTCTATGCTCCCAATGTCCCGTTTTTGGTTCAGCTGACCGTTCTGTTTGCTGCCATTTTTCAAGGGCCGTAAATCCCCCCCAAGCCACATTTTGCACCGCAACCCGCTTCCCGTCTCACCTAGGATTTCCACTACTTGCAGGAACACCGAGGCAGGGATGGCGTCCTGCTCGTCTTCAGACCTCCCCTCGCCGTCCTCCTGCTTCCAGGCCAGTAGCTGCTCTGCGAACGCCACGGCCAGCGGGAACTCCAGTGGGAGGGAGTGCAGGACCAGCACGGCACCAGGAGGTGGGGACACGCCTTGAACGCAGACCCAGAAAAGCAGAAGAGCTTATTGGCCGAATTTAGGCTTGGAACGGCTCCCCTGTGTGTGCTGTTTCCCTAAGAGGAGGCTAACCTAAGCCCCAAAATATCTGACACGCACCAGCACCCTCCCTCCTGCCCCAGAACAAGGGCATCATCTCTTCATTCCCAACCCGACCGGAAAGTCTGGGCCAATGAAAGTAGCTCTGTTGGTCCCTGAGCTCCAGCTGCACAGGTCCCAGCTATGTCCAGAGACTCTCCTGACCCCAGGGCTCAACTCGAATGGACCGGAACCGGAATTCCTGGCCAGCCTGTAGCCATTCATCCAAAGTTCTGGTTTCCCATCGTACCCAGTTTGATGTGGACCTTGTCTGTGGAGATGATGACCGAAGGATACTGGTTGGTGGTGGGCGGAGGGGTCAGGCCCGTGTTGGTGGGAGAAGCGTCCCGAGGGTAGCACACGGCCTCGATGAGGTTCAGCTGGCCGTTCTTCTTGACCTTGTGGCCCAGGCCGTAGAGCAAGACCCGGGCCCAGGGGGCCTTGTAGAGGGACGAGCTGGAAAAGGCAAGGACGGGTTAGCCAGCAAGCTTCCCTTTCTGGCCCAGCTGAAGAGGCTGCAGCCACAGAGTCCCTCGATCTCCGCTGGGGCCACTTACTCTTTGCGGAATCCAGCCTGGCCCTCCTTGCAGGAGACGATGACAAACGCAGCCCCAGGGAAATGGACGTCCATGTTGACTTTGGACTCAGAAATGGGGAACTCCTCCGAGGGGAACTGCTCAGGGGCATTCTGAAGGCAGAAGGCAAAGCTGGATCAAACCGATTGCACCCCAAAAGGCCCCCAAAGGAGTGGGGAAGCGAGTGGAGGAGGAGGAGGAGGGCACCCCAAAAGGCCCCCAAAGGAGCGGGGAAGCGAGTGGAGGAGGCTGTGCCGGTCCCCCCTCCCAACGACTTGCCTGCAGGAAGCAGCAGAGCTGCCTGGTCAGGTCAAGCAGGCTCTCCTCCCCCTGGTGCAGGGTGCGAGCGATGGCGATGGTGAGCCACTCCTGGACCGTCTGGGCGTTGCCCTGGTAGAAGAGCTCGGTGGCCGAGCAGTTCTGGGAGTGGATGGAGTGCTGGAGGGACTGGGCCAGGAGGATGGACGTGGAGCTGATGGTGCCGTCTGGGCAGGAAGAAGGAAAACCAAAGGCCCCCGTCAACTCTCCGGCCTCTCCTGGGAAAGCCCACCGGGGGGGTCCGCAGCCCAGCCGCGACGGGGGCTGCTCTCTTTCCCTAGGCAGACGGGTTTCGGGGCAAAGCCGCAGAGCCCCCTCCACTGACGGGGCTGGAGGGGGGCAGGGGGCGGGCCTACCTGGAAGGGGCGGTGCCAGGAGCTGGTTGGAGAGCAGCTGCAGGTGCTCCAGGGTGATATCCCGCACGCTGAAGAGCTGAGTGAACAGGTGGGGCGTTTTGGGGGTGAAGATGTTGAGCAGGGCCATCCGGCAGTAGAGGCAGGCCAGCACGGCTTCGCAACGGAGGAGTTCCCTGAAAGAGGCCCGGGGGGGGGGGGGGTTCTGAAGCACACCGTCTCCACCAGCCGCACCGCTTGGAGGAGGAGGAGGAGGAAGGCCAACGTGCGCCCAGAACTGCACATTCCAAGGGGCCTTTTGGTGCCGCCGAGAGGAGCAACCGCACACCCTCCACAGTCGTGGACGTCTAAAGGTACGGAGCAGCCGCTCACCTGTGGATCTGGATGTTGGAGTTGTCCAAAGAAACCAGCCCGTTGGTGGCCGTCCTCCTGTAGCCAGCCGGGGGTCGCTCCAGCATGTCGATCGGGTACCAGTACCTGACCAGGACCCCCTCGCTCCGCAGGTAGGTCTCCACCTGCACCAGTTCGTTCACCTGGAAGGACAAACTCCACCGTTGCCCAAGACGTTTGGCACGGGGTGCCCAGGACGCGCCCCCCCCGCCCCTTCCTGGCTTCAACAGCGGCTCTCTACTTGCCGAATCAACGTCCAGGACCACCCCGTGCAGTCCAAAGGTCTTCAACATCCCACGGATGGCAAACTTGGGCAGGGCGGTTGCCACGGCATTGGTGGCCACGTTGTTGCTCTCCGGGTAGCGGGTCACGACCGTCAGACCTGGAAGAAGGAGGAGGAGGGGGGGAGGTTTAGTGCCAGGGCCTCTGAGCAGCCCTTTCAAGGGGGCCCTTTCTCCCTCTCCCCACGAGCCCCCAGGTGGGCAGAGACGGACGGATGCCAAGCCCCTCCTGGTCACTAAGCAGGTGCACCTTTCCGGACTTTGTCGATGGTGAACTTGTTGGCCTCGTCTTTGATGTCCTCGATGGTGGGGAGATAGAGATCGCGAGGGATGCCCCCGTTTTCCTCGTAGAGGAACTCCACCGTCTGCCGCGCTATGTCGACCATCCCTGAAAGGCAAACCAGTCTCTGGATTGGCCTCCAATCAAGGGTCAAGGTGAGAGGCGGGGTGGGCCGAGGGGAGGCTCCCCCTGCCCAGAGTTTCTGGCAGGCGCGCCAGAACCTCCCGGGTCACACCCAGGAGAGGAAGAGGAAGAGGCAGGGAAGCCGGGGCGGGAGGCTGGGGTCCCCCCCCCCCAAGAGAGAGGGTCGACCTTTACCTAACTGCAGGGCTCCCTTAATCTGGTCCAAGCCGGATTTCCGCTCTGCTTCATTGCGGAAGCGCCTCCTGATTGTGGGGAAGACCTTGGTCTCCCAGGCCTTCACCAGCAGGGCGTAGTGGTCCTCCTGCAGAGGAAGGCAGCGGGGCGCTGAGGGGGCAAGGCGGTGCCCAGCCACGAACGGGGAACCGACAGCGGGCCCCTCCCCTCTCCTCCCCCCCCCGGGGGGGCTCCAGCATGGCGCCCCTGGCTCTGCTCACCCGCGGGACGTCGTCGTCGTCGTCATCGTCGCTCTCGTCATCCGCAATGGGCGGAGGGTGAAGGTCCGGTCCAGAGACGGTGAAGTTCTCGTAGCTGCGCTCCGTTTTGTAATGGCAAGAGGAGTCGCTGTCGTACTCTGGCAAGGGGGAGGGAGAGGGGGGGGGCATTAAGAGAGGGGAGGGGGCAGTTCTCTCCCCCATGACCCAGGCCTTTAGCCCCGTAAGACCGTCCCTTGGTTGTTTGTGTCTCATGATGTAGGGCGATTGTATTGCGATTGTGGTCATGATTCACCCCTTGTTGCTTGTATGGACGCTGAGAGCTTCTGCGCCAGAGAGAACCGCCTTGTGTGTCCAACCATACTTGGCCAATAGAAAGAACTGTGCTCTGTTCTGTTCTGTTCTATCCTATCCTATCCTATCCTATCCTAATTCTAATCTATTTCTTAGTCTATTCTATTCTATTCTAAATTCTAATTCTATTCTAATATTAGTTCTATTCTACTCTAATTCTATTCTATCCTAATTCTATCCTATCCTAATTCTAATATATTCCTTATTCTATTCTATTCTAATTCTAATGTTATTCTATTCTATTCTAATTCTAATGTTATTCTATTCTCTCCTATTCTCTTCTCTTCTCTTCTATTTTATCCTATCCTATCCTATCCTAGTTCTAATCTATTTCTTATTCTATCCTATTTCTATTCTTGTTCCTGTTTGCTTCAGTTTCTATTCCTGATTCCATCCTGTCCTGTCCTACATTTTGGCCATGCTGGTTAGCAGCTATTAGATACGCTTTGATGACTGATCGATCAAGTGGGACGCTCTGCCCCCAAGAGGAGACAATTCAGCCTTTTGTCACCAAAGGCGACGTGCCTGTTGGGATCTACTGTTCTAGAGATTCCCCTAGAACGCCACCGCTAAGCAATGTCCTTCCTGCGTTACTCCGACTTGGCTTTGCAAGGGAGGGGCGGGACAAGGAGCAGGCGCAGGCGCAGGGGAGCCTCACGTTGCTGAGCGGTGGCCACGGCTGCGATCCTGCAAGGAGGCCCGTGCGGCCCAGGATCGGAAGCGCTACTGGTGCCGGCGTCGTTGTCGCTGTCGGAGGCCATGGCGAAAGGCAGCACTTCGAAGTTGGCGCTGATCTCTTCTGCCAGATCGATGCAGAGGTCGGCGGCGTTCCGGTGGGCTTGTCCCTCCACGTAGGCAAACTGATGAGACCCAAAATTGGCCCGGACTTTGGTGTTCTAGAAGGAAACCGTAACACAAAAGAGCTCAGCTCTCGTAGAGCGTTTGGGATGCGCCTGCTCTCTGCAAGGAAAGCCGTGGTGTTCGCGGGGTTGGAGACAGGGGGAAAAAGGCTTCTACCGTCAAACAAATGCTGGTTTATTCTCAGACCTGCTTTTCCCTTCAGCACAAGGCAAAACAGTCCCTGCCTTCCACCTCTTCTGGGTTCTTATGATTGATTACACAGCAGGGGAGACGATGGCACCCCACACAAGCTCAGCTAATCTCTGAAAGGCTTGCTTCTTATACAAACTGTGTCACGTAAAAGAGCGGCTCTGTGGCGCAGTGGTTCGAGTGCTGCACTGCAGGCCACTTCTGCTGACTATCGGCTGTTCAAATCTCACCAGGCTCCAGGTCGACTCAGTCTTCCCTCCTTCCGAGGTGGGTAAAAGGAGGACCCAGATTGTGGGGGGGCAAGAGGCCGACTCTGTAAACCGCTTAGAGAGAGGGCTGTGAAAGCGCTGTAAACCGATATATAAGTCTAAGTGCTATTGCTTTATGACGCTACGCTTAAGGCTGAGCCCTGGCCCATCTGAACAGGAAGAGAGGTGTGATGTTTAACCTGCCTTCTTCTGGATATGGACCACTGGCCACATTCCTCCCGACACGTCTTCCAAATACGGCCCCAGCCGCTGTCCGCAGTAGGTGAAGTAGACCCTGCCTTTGGCCGGCTGCCCTGGAGGAGGAGGGGTCCCTTCCGTCCGCTCCCAGCCGATGCCTGCCACATCACCTGTGGAGGAGGCCCAGGGACCAGAGAGGGACTGAGTGGGGCTCTTCCACCACCACCCCACCCTCCCACCCCGGAGGAGGCCTTCTGCTTAACCACAGGCCGGAGGGGGCTTACCGGGGGAGAGAGCCACATCCAGGCGCACGCTCTTCCACTGCAGCAAACTGGAACCGTTGTAATGGACAGCTCGCCCGTTGCTGGGAATGCAGGAAGGAAGGGAGACATTCACAGAGGAGGGTCCCGACTCCCCCCTGGAGGGTCCCGGGCTTAGCAGTGAAACTTGGCCGTGGCAGGCAAGCAAATGTGTGTGATGGTTCTCGGGACGAGGGTAAAGCAACGTCTTAGTGAACGGATTCTAGGCAGACCCTCTGAAAGTGGCTTTATCTCGCTGAGGGATCCTCTTGCCGGCCCAGAGCTGCCCTGGGCCTGTTTTACCTAATGCAACAGACACCCCCACCCCCAAAACCACCCCCCCAAGGCTCCAGTTCTTGCTCTCCCACCTCCCAAACCTACTTGTGGAAGAGGCAAGTGCCCACGGGGTTGGTCCACGCTCCATCCCGCTTCTCAGCTTCCGTGGCAAAGCCGAAGGAGACAATGGGGCCCGTGTCGTCATCTGCGTCTCCGTAGGACACGACTTCGATCTCCCAGTAGAAAGAGGGCGCCTGGGGAAGGAGCGGCCCCCCCGCAGGTGAGCCGAGGGGGCTTCACGGCGGCCTTCCCGAACGGTAGCTGGGCCCGCTGTGAACGCTCACCTGCACAGGAACTGCCGAGGTGGCATAAATGAAGGTGCCCCGAGGAAGCCCTCCCCCAGCGCTGGGGTCCGCCAGGAAGGTCACCGCGGTGAGATGGGAGGAGAACATGCAGGCTCGCACAGGTGGGAAGACCCTTGAGGGGCTCCAGGTGATTTCTTTAGGCTGAACCAAGAAGACACAGAGCTGCGTTTAATCACAGCTGCCGGGGCTGTCATCACCTGGTGGCCGCAGCACCCCAGGAACCGCAGCCTTGAACCCAGAGAAGGCTTTAAGCCCACCCCTCTTGCTCTGTATTTACCTGTCTTCGGTCTGCCTGGAGGGGAGGCGGGGGTGGCCGAGCGCTATCGCGGTAGAGCATCCGTAACCTTTCGCACTGCGCTTCGACAACAAGGAGCCGCTCCCCTAGAAGGGGGCAAAGGAAGACCCTTCAGACCCCGCTCACCCCTGCAAGAGCGTCTCTGAAGCTACATTTCTAGTCTCAGGGGCTATTCATGCGCCAACCGCTTCCTCCAAAGGGCCAAGCGCTGGTCAGACCACAAAGCCAAGGGGGGTTCCCAGCTGCGCTTTTTTCCCCCGCCTGTCCTTGACGTGATTAAGGAGAGGACCAAAGTTAGTCGCCAAGGACGCTGGGCAAGGTTGAGAATGACAAACCAGCTAGGTGGCCTTCAAATCCAGGAGGGATTTGAACTGGGATCTCCACAGTCCGATCCCGTTTCTTTAATCCACAATATTTTCCAGGCAGCCTCTTCTTTACTGCCTTCGGGATAATATTTTTTTCCGGTCACAATCACCCAGTCTACGTCTGTGACCGAAGACTCAGCTCTTACCGGGGCTGCACTCCTGGGCTACGAGGTTGAGGACTTCCACCGCAGCTGGACACTGCTGGATGAATTCTTCACAGAAGGAGGTGTCCTCCAAGAGCTGCGCCATCACCAGGCATGCTCTTGGGGGTGGGGGATGATGGGGGTGTCAGAGAGAGGGAGAGAGAGAGAGAGAGAGAGAAAAGGCAAAGCACGTCTTTAGGAGTTCTTGGGAATGGTCAGTGCCTTCTAGAGACCACCATAGGCCTTGAAGGAAAAGATCCTTTTGCTTGCTGGGAAACTCACCCAGTAGAAGGCCTTGAACCCTGAACTTCAACCCCAGTCAGGCAAATCAACTAGCCCAGGCAAACAGCCACGGGGTGACTGAGCCCCCGCAGGGCTCCAGTTTGATCTGGCCGTGGGATCCGTCCCCACCCACCTGGTTCGGATTTCAGCCAGCAGACGGACCACGGCCATGACCGGAGTCGAGCCGTCTCCCGTGGCAGGAAGCGAGGTGTGGATAGACAGGCTGCCCTCCTGCGGAAGCAACATGGACTGGACGGCTTGCACGACCTTCTCGGTGATGGACAGCTTCTGCAGAGGCAAGGCCTGAGGAGCAGCGGGAAAGCCAGAAGGGGTTATTTTCTGGAAAGCCAAGGAAGGTCCTGGTCTCATTGTGGCGCAGGCATTATTGTCCCAACCGGAAAGGAACGTCTGCCAGCCAAGAAGAAGAACCGAGGTAGCTGGGTACGTTGGGGTGGGGTTACTGCAGTTGACTTTAGAAAGTCAACCTTGCCTTCTTTAGATATAGAAAACTTAAAGTTCTCTCCCCACCACCATTATTTTTGGAATTGGCCTCTCTAATGATCTAAACTCTGGCGCTAACAGTTTAGCCTGAAGACAGAATTCTTTATTGGCCAAGTGTGATTAGACATACAAGGAATTTGTTTCCGGTACTTAAGCTCTCAATAGACATGCAACAATAACGATAAGCGACAAAGTTATAGAAACTGCGCCTTCAATTTAAACATTCACACACTGACCTGCTCCGTTCTGGGCGTTAAAACGGACTCACCTCTGACCGCGGAATGCAGAGCCTCGATAATGGAACGGTTAAAATGTCTGAGGCCTGGGAGGCCTTCCTGCAGTCTATGTTGACCGGTGGGAATTTGACCGTGGCTATCCCTTCCTGTTCATTAATGGAGGCCACCACTCCCACGCTTCTGGCAATTCCTCTGCCCAACACCTGTTGACAGGAGAAAAGGGAAGGTGGGGGAACACATTTAAGAGCCATCCGATATGGGGGCCAGGAGAGACGGGGCCCAAAATGTCAGTCTCTTCGGGGTTCGGTGAGTGACAAGAGGCCGGTGCCCACCTGAACTTCGGAGCCGATTTTGATGGTCTCCTTGAAGCCGCCCAGGGCACACAGGGCAGCCACCGCTTGGCGAGCGATCCTCTGCAGCTTGGCCAGCTTCCTTCCGTTGCTGCTGCCGTTCTCCAAGATGCTCTCGGCGTATTTCCCCAGCTGGGGGATGTACATCAGAGCACGAGACAAGACCTGGGAACGGGGAGAGGCCCAAGCGGGGGGGCGCGTTGGAGCCGCCTTCCCGGCAAGACCCTTCTCCGTGGATGCGGGCGGGTGGGTTACGAAGCACACCGGAATCCAGCCCAAAACTGTTGCCTCACATATACGCAGGAGGCATCGCGCGTTCCTTCACCCCCAGCGTCCTTTTCTAGGGAAATGCTCCCATTTCAGGCTTCCAAACATTTAAAACTTTCTCCCCAACCTGAGGGGCCTGCTGGCTGCAGAGAATATCAAGAACACCCCCCCCCCTCCCCAAACTAACCCTGAGCCACGCAGCAAAGGACGGATGAAAGGGCGCTGGGCACTCCTCTCAGGCCAAACCAGCAGAGGCAGGAGGCAGCCTTCCGTGGCCGGAGAGCCGGACGCCCTTGTTCGTTTGCACAACGACAAGCTTGGTTGAAAAAAACCTGCAAAGCCAGCGCAGGGCAGGGCGAGGGAGGAGCCCCTCCCCCACTTACTTTCTCGGCGGTGGTGGTCCATATCTGAGCGGCGTTCGACTCGGGCGCCATGAGCAAGCTGTGAAGCAGAGCGATCACCTCCGCCGCCATGCTGTTGGCCACGTGCCCGCTGATGAAGGGCCGCACGGGGTCAGTCCTGAGGTGAGGGAGGGGAGTCAGGCTCCAGCGTCCCACCCTGCCCACCCCCGTCGGGGCGCCTGGCCCTCCCTCCCTCCCTGAAGCGGAGCCGAGAGGGAGGGATCGACCTGCGCGGCTGCTTCCCAGGTCCAGGAACGCCCCCCCCCTCCCGCCCCCCAGGCGAGCTCTTTGGAGGGTCAGAGGTCAGCCTACCTGGCCAGCTCCGAGTTCCGCTCCCTGCAGGTGGAGGTCTGAGCCGTCTTCTTCTTGTCCCCCGTGGAGAGGCCGCTGGTGCTTTCGGGACTGGCCGTCTCCACCGGGGGGCCCACGCTCACAATCAGCCCAGATTGGGCCCACTTGGTGGCCTTCCGCAAAGCCGCCGCCGCCTCCTCTGTGATCACCTCGCAGCAGCCGCTCTGTGGAGGGAGGGAAGGAAGGCAGGCCTGGGTTGCCGTGGCCCCCGCCACGTCCTCACAGCGTGGAACCCTCGCTCGGAGGGCAGAAGGGGCCACCACCGGAGCCCGTCAAGGTCTGTGGGACCCTTGGCAAGGCCCTCCGGAGGGGTTGCTCTTACTTTGGTCATGTCTCGGTCCATCTTGACCACCTTCTCCATGTTGGCCCCTGTTCCCAGGCGGAAGGGGCGGCCTTCGGAGCTACTGCGAACAGAAGGAGCACAGAGGGTGAGAACGTGGAAGGAGGGTCCACCCGTGGCTCTTGAGGGTGCCACCCTCGGGCCGGGTTACCTCAGGAGCGGCTGGAGAACCTCGTGAGACGACTGGTCTTCCCGCTTGTGAATGAAGATGGAGAGCTTGCCGTCCACGGCCTCGCTCTCTTCTCCTGGGTCTTTGTCCCCTTTGAGGGAGCTTTTGGGGTTCGCCTTCGCCAGGGACATGTCTGGCTCCGAAGCGGTGGGGGAGAGAACCGTCTGGCATCCTGTTTGGGGGGGGGGGGGGGGGAAGGAACGCTGATTCCAGCCAGGAAACCTTCCCTACCAGCTTCATTCAACCTGCAGCTCCTTCGCCCGGATTTGGTGGGGCAGATCCATCAGGCGCAGGACTCGAAGTCAGGATCTTGTTTAGCAACCCGGCCGACCCCCCCAACCGTGAGATGCTGGCTGGGGAGTTCTGGAGTCGTCGCATCTCACAGCCGCGAAAGGGAACCAGGGGATATTTCTCCGGAGCTTCCCAGGGGCTCCGAAAGGAGACGCCGCGTTGAGGTGGAGGCACCTCGGCCCTTCGCTACCTGGGACGACGTAATCCGCCAGCTTGGCCAAGAGCAGGGAGGCGATCTTGGAAGCCGGGTCGCCGGGGTCGTCTTGCTCGCTGTTCAGGGAGGGCACGGAGTAGCTCCAGGGGGGCAGCTCCACGTTCCCACAGTCCTCCACGCTCATGAGGGGAAGGGCGGCCCGGCAGAGCTGAAGGATGATGAGCACCAGCTTGGGGGAGGGGCGCTGGTCCAGAAGCAGAGAGAGGAGTTTGGAGACGCAGGCCGGCTGGCTGAGGATGGCTTTGCCAATGTGGCTCCTGGCGGGGGGAGAAGGAAGGAAGGAAGGAAGGAAGGAAGGAAGGAAGGAAGGAAGGAAGGAAGGAAGGAAGGAAGGAAGGTAAGAGAAGGAAGGAAGGAAGGAAGGAAGGAAGGAGAGAGAAGGAAGGAAGGATCCCATTTCAGGACAGCTGGACTGGAGATCAGAACCGTGGCTGATAAGGTGGGGGCTACTGCTCCGCAGGATTCGACCCTTAACCCTCCATCCAGAGACCGTCTCACAGACCACTGCTTTCCAACCATGGCATCATGAAGAGGTCTGGACTTCAACTCCCAGGATTCCCCAGGAGAATTCTGGGAGCCCAGGCATCTTTTAACTTGCCACGGTTGGGAAACTGGTAGCTCAGCTGGCTGCGGAATCCCGGGAGTTGGAAGTCCCGGCCTCTTCCGGCCGCCACAGCTGAGAAACACGGTACCTGGAAAGGTCATTCAGGAGGCTGAGGACGTCTTGCAAGGCATCGTTGCCGGCTGCCTGGTTGCCACAGCACTCGGTGGCTCGGGCCAGGTGATTGGTGAGGAGGCTGGAGACCTGGCGAGCGAGGCCCGAATGCACGGCCTCGGTGGATCCCCCTGCAAAAGGGTCGGCCCCGATGAGGGGAGTGAAAAGGGGCCCTCCCCCCCCCGCTCCCCCTGGACTCCCCCTGCAGCCTCCTCGCTCTTCCTGCAGGGCCAGCAGAGCTCCTACCTTCCTCCTTCTCCCACTCGACGCAACGATTGGCCAGCACCTGGAAAGCGGCCCAAGCCATGATGGCTACCTTCTGCTTCTTGGTCTGCTTCTCGCTGGAGCTGGACTCAGTCTGGCTGCTTAGGCTGCACAGGCGGTCCATCAGCTGCACCAGGCCGCTCCTCACCAGGCACTTCTCTTCGCTCCTGGGGAGGGGGAGGGAGGGGGGGGAAGGAAGCCGCAGAGGCCGGTCACCTGTGGGCCCGGGGGAGGCTGGAGAGGGCAGAGGGCAACGGGAACGCTGAGGCCGGGCAGGGCAAGGGCAGCTCTCCGGCTCACCTGGTGTAGGGAATGGTGCACAGCAGGCCGATGCTGTTGGCGCAGGCGATGGGGTAGCGCGCGCACAGGGCCACCACCGACGTCATGGTCTCCCCAAAGGCCTCCTGCACCTGCTCCACCATCCCTCCGCAGGTGAGCTCTTCGATTCTGTGGAAAGGGAGAAAGCCAGAGGCTCCCGAGCACAAGACGCCACCCGCTCGGAGGCCGTTCGAGCCTTAAAAGGTTGACGCAAATGTTATCCCAGGGAGTGCTGGGATTTTTCAAGGCAGCTTGAAGAGGTGGGGGCAGGGGTGGGATTCTACCGGTTCGCACCTATTCGCTAGAACCAGTTGTTAACATTCTAAGCAGTTCGGAGAACCAGTTGTTAGGAGAAATTACTGGGCTAATCCTGTAAGGAAGGCAGGAAGGAAACATTCTGGTGTTGCTTACAGAAACTGCCTCTCCGTTAACCCTGATTACATTCTTGGCAGGACTAGCCTTCCTGTCTCAGGAGCTTCTCTGGAGTTTTTTCCCCTCCTTTGCTGGTACTTTGCTTGTGTGGAGGGACCATTCCAAGTTACAATGGCACTGAAAAAAGTGACTTATGACCATTTTTCACACTCACGACTATTGCAGCATCCCCACAGTCACGAGAGGCCAGGGGAGGAGATGCGTGCCTCGATGTGAGTGATGTTGAGTTGGCCACACCCAGCCAGTCACATGACCACCAAGCCATGCCCACCAACTAAGCCACGCCCACAGAACTGGTTGTTAAAAAAACCGAATCCCACCCCGGGGGGAGGGGGGGGGGGATAAGAGGTCTGGACCATTGCTGGCTGGGGAATTCTGGGAGTCGAAGTCCAGCTCTCTGCAAGCTACCAAGTTCGCGAAGGACCCCTTTTTAGAGGGCTGCTTTCAGGGGCTTTGCCAAGGAAACCGGGACTGACCGTGGGCCTCCCTGGAGCACCATCGTGACTGGGCCCACCAGGTGCGTCACTCCGCCCACACGGACCGCAGCCGTCAGCAGCTCCCTCATGTGCACCAGGGCCTGCTTCCGGGTGTTTCCACGCCGCCATCGCGTCTGAGCGGCCAACAGGAAGCTGCTGCTGGACACCTAGGAGAATAGTGGGGCAGGATGAGTGGACTGCACGGGCCACTGACCGACTCACTTGAGGGGGCTCAGGGTGTAACCTTTCCCCCGAAGGGAAATTCACTGAGTTTAAAAAAAAAAAAAAAATAGGGACTCCCACCGTGGCCAGAACAAAAACACATTTTAGAACATTCTTAGACATTCCAACCTCCTAAATGACAAGCTATTTCAATAATTAGATAGTATTTATTTGAGTTAGCCATTTATATTATTTTGATAACTCAAATGAGCTTTTAAGCAGCCTGATGGGACTTTAAATATTCACAGGTAACCGAGGCTGTTGGCTTTTTCTCTGGCTGCTTACGACGGTTTCTGTTCGGTGAGGTTTACTGGAGAACCGAAGTGTGCCTGGCCGGGTGAGGCCGCTGCCTTGCATTGGATGAGCCCAAGAGGCGGGCCTTACCGCTTGCTCAGGATTGGTTCCGATGAAGGCAAAGAGCTGTCCTAGCAGGACGCTGTAGGTGGGCTTGTCCCGGCTGTCATCGATGGCCAGCGACTGCAGGAGGGTGAAGGAGCTGCTCCTGTGGCTGGGAACGTGGCGCCGCCTGCGTGGAGAGGCACGAGAGGGGAGATCAGTGGGACCAGCCAACAGCCCGGACGTCCCTCCCAGCGACGGGGATGCCGACCTCTGGCTGGACCGGGTGAACTCCAGGTCTTCGTTTGCGATCATCTCCAGATCCGAGGGTGCCGACATGCTGCGGAGGAAGACTGGCTGGCGAACCGCGTGGGAGATGACCTTGGTTTCCGAGGCTGACTTGCACGCTGCGCGTTAAGGAGCAGGAAGAGGGCTGAGCCTTCGTGGACAGAAAACCCACAAAGGATCCAGGAAAGGGGGGGGCTTCCTCGATCTCGGCTGTGCAGGAAGGCGCTCAAAGGTGAGTGCTTCGGAGAAGGCCAGCCTGGCCCCTCCCCTCCCTCCTTACCTGGCGTCTCTGCCGGGGTGCCGGAGATGCTCCGGGTGAGGCCCGACTGGGCAGCGATGGTGACGTGCAGGAGCAGCTCTGCTCGGTTCATCAGGCTCTTGACCAGGATTTTGGTCTTCGCCATGGGATGCGAAGGCTTCTGGATCCCCGAGTTCACCTCCTGGAAGAATTTCTCCCTAAAGAGCCGGGGAGGGGAAAGCTCAGAGACAGGCAGGCTGGTAGCCTCCTCCTAGCTCCAGAACGAGGCGAAGGGTCGGACGGGCTCGGCTTCCGGGGCTGGGGAGCAACCCCCGCACATCGCCCCCTTCGCCAACCAGGAAGGAGCAGAGGTGGGCGACAGGCTTCCCGCCACGGCAAGGCGGCAAGAGTGGCACCAACCTCAGCGAAAGGACCATGTTCTCGAGATCTCCTCCGTCAAAAGAAATCTCCTTCATCGAGCACAGAAGCTCCAACTCTTTCATTTTGCTCTGAAAGGAAGGGAAGCAAACACGTGGGAAAAGGGGACCCGAGGAGTTCGTTCCTCTTCCTGAAAGGAGGTCTGATCCTTCGTGGGGTGAAAGCTGCCTCTCCACCTTCAGGCACAGCCTCTCCCCAAGGAGAACCCCTGGAAGGGGGCCACTGCCTTCCTGCCCTGCGGGGGAGCCTCTCGGAGGCTTCACCGGAAGCCCATAATCTATTCTTTCGCTCCGTTTAATTTATACGCTTCTTTGGGTTCTTCTTTGCAAGAATTCCCAAGGTTTCTGCCGAAGGAAGGCTTCTATTTCCACACAACCCGCTCCCTGCTCCAGACTGAGACCCTTTTCCCAGATATCTGGAAGAACTAAAACACGGGAGAGATGCTCTGGGTGACATTCCGGTTTGGTTTGTAACCCCCAAGGACTTCCCAGGGCCCTCCGGAGGCCTCGTTCGCTGGCAGACGCGCTTGGAGAAGCCAGACGTTCCCAGGACCAACAGCCGAGACCTTATTTCCCGCAGGGGATCAGGCAGCCGGTTTTAAAGCTGCACGCGGTTTGCCCAGGAGCAGTGAAAAATACAGCTCAGCATTTCACAGGAATTGAGAGGAAGGCGAAGAGGCCAACACCAAAGCAGCCCAGCGTAATCTGAGCTTCTTGGCCTTTACCTCATTGAAGTGATAATCGTAGAAGAAGGGCACGTTATTTTCCAGCTTCCCGTGCGTGGCGTCTTCCACCTCGCTCTGCCATTTCTGCTCCAGTTCAGCCACACTCTGGCCCAAAAGGGAGGGAAGCAGACCCATGAACGCGCTGGAGCCCTCCTTCCCTCGGGAAAAATAATTCACGTCCAGCCCACCGTGAGCCCCCAGGACCTGCAGCCGGAAGCAGCCACCGGATTTGCACGGCAGGCGTTACCTGCAGTTGTCTTTCCATGGCATTCAGTTTCTTGAAGGTTTCTCCCATGATTTTGCAGAGCAGGTCGTATTCCTCGGCGTGCTCCTCCTGATACTGGAAGTTGATGAGAGACTGGAGCGCGTCGACGAGGTTCAAGTGCTTGATCACGCACGAAACCACCATTTCCTCCATCACGTCCGGCTGGATCACCTCTCTGTTGAGGGCGAAACCCCCGCCCCCAAAACCAACATTTGACCAACGTTTGGCCTCCTGACAAATACCTGAGCGAGGCTGCAGGCGTTTTCTCCAGCTGCAGATGTGGAGAAGGCCAAGGTGACCAAAAGAAGTTCACCCACCCACCTGATGCTGGGCCGAAACTGAGGTCGGGCACGGCCAGATATTTCCCTGAGCTTGATCATGATTCCGGGCGGGAGTCGGATTCGGGGCAGGTCGAAATAGTGACCCACAGGCGGGACAAGGACGTCTGATGGGTACGTGAACTCCTGGTCTTCCTCAATGGTGAGAGGCAGCGGGGAAGGGCTGGGCGTGAGGGCTGGGGAGATCACCCCGTTGGCTTCCACTTGCCACTGGCACCTGAAACAAGGAGAGCACCCAAGGAGCGGCTTGTTGGCGGTTCCGTAGGAGGTTTCGCACCTGGCGGGGAATCGGCGGCTGGCCTCCCGCTTCCGCCCCACTCCGGGCTCCCTACCTCTGCAAGAGTTTGGACCGCAGCAGCTCTTGACACGTTTCCTCGTCCTTGGTGATCTCTGGCCCGTTGTACAGGATCCTCAGCATGGAGCAGGCCAGGACGGACAAGCCCAAGGCCAGGTCCACCAGGAAGGGCAACCCACCCGAGACGTCTTCCGAGGATTCCTGGGCAGCCCAGGGGAAGCAGAGAGAACACAGAGGGAGAGTGAGCCCGCACGCACCCGCCTGGCGCCTGACTATGAATCACGCTAAAAGTCGCCAGCACCGAGAGACCCAACCCAGCAGAGCAGAAATCTGTAAAGAGGCAGCTCTAAGGCGAGGAAGTTGGAAGGAGTTGCGCCTCCACGTTTACAAGGCGAATACACGGACTTCTCCCCATTCAGGAGCAGTGAATGAACGCTGACCTGCCTCCTTAAGTAGGACCTGGGGCTCAGCCTCCGCACCCCCACGCCACCCCTTGTAACTGGAAGAATGGCGAAGCCAGGTTCGGACGCGGTCAGGATTGAGTTGGATGTTAGTTACTCCCCCAGCTGAAGCCCAGCTCCCTACCTGCGCCCGGACCGTGCAGGCAAAGCCCCACATGGCTTTATCGGGGGTGTTGTGTTCTCGGCCACTCCGCATTTCGAAGGAGAAGGTGACGGTGTCCCCTTCCACCTGACAGTTTGGATGAGAAGAGAATCCACTGAACAAGCAAGCGGAAGCCGAGCCTCCGCCTTTTATTATTGCAAGATACAGAAGGAAATCGGGAAACGGCGTTCTCCTCTGAGGATTATGCCCGTGATCCAGGAAATCTGGTTTTTGTACGGTTGTAGGAGTGAGTGGCTTCTTTTTTTCTTTGAGTTGAATTTTTTTTTTCTTTTTTGTAAATTTTTTAAAATTGTTTTTTATATAGAACAAATCCATTCCGTTTCAATCGTTCATCGATTAGGCACATATTTTCAATTATTTAGCCATTATTAATAGTGTTTTTCTTATCCAATCTAACAATACAATAATAATCATATTCCTGTGTAAATGATAATATCCACTATACCTATTACATTAACTTCTCTGATGACCCCATAAATACATCCAATCCCTTTTAATTTGTTCTATTTTCTATCCATTGATAAAACAGATCCCATACCATATAATATTCAGATTCTTCTTTTTCTTTGATTTCTAGCGTCAATCTATTCATTTCTGCACGTTTGAATATTTGTTCACTTATTTTTCCCTCTATCGGTATCATATCATTTTCCCAATTTGGGGCAAATACAATTCTAGCTGCCATTAAAATGTGTATAATTAGAGAAACCTTGGGATTTCACCCGCAGGGGCGGGAAAGTGCTCTTCGGTACCTTTACTAAATCTTTCGGCCACCCGGTCCCCAAGACGCTCCGGCTGCCGTATCCTAAGATGTTGCCCCCGTATTCGGCAACCTTCCGGCTGTTCGTGTTGGGCCCGGCGTAGATCACCAGCTGCAGCAGAAGCACGACAGACAGAAGCCAGGGGCATGAGGGCAAATCGAAGCCTGTCTGAAGAGCTTCTCCGAGGGGAGCGGGCAGATCTTGTGCCGGCATCCTAGAGAGCTCCAAGGGAAACTTCCCCCAGGCCAGAAGGGCTTCAGGGCGGCCCCGTCTCTCTTCACAGGCCCCGGCACCCAGGGGGGGAGCTGATGGTCTGGCCCCAACTGACCTTATCGTAATCGTACTGGGAGGAGCATCGGCTGTCGAACCTCAGGTACAAGCAACGGGCTCCTGGGATGTGCACCGTCTCCTTAAACTTGTAGTTATCCCTGACGGGGTGAACGGTCTCCACCGTCTTGCCAGCAGCCCAAGGAGCCGGGATTTTCAAGCCGGTGAGGAACCCCGGCTCTTCTTTCTCTTCCAGCATTCTGGCATGAAGGGTAAAAAAAGGAGAAGCTACCAAAGGAGTAACTTTGTAGGACAGATTGAAAGGAATTGTGGACGCCAAATACTGGCATTGCTGTCACCGCATGACACTGGGCACAAACAAGAGAGGGAGGGAGGGAGGGAGGGAGGGAGGGAGGGAGGGA